CAAAAAAGTATTTTAGTGTAAAATTTATTTTTTTTAAAATTAACAGTTTTCAGGACAGGAGTCCTTTTGATTTGGGACTAGCTTGCCTTTCATGGTTTTAATTTTTCCAATTCCTTGCTTATAAGAGCACTTATTATTTAATGGGAAAGTTATTGAAATAAACAAACAAAAATCTCTTCAAAGATTCTGAACAATTTTTTCCACTTAATCCACATAAAGCCAGTTTGGTAAACTGAATGCAATCCTGCCACTCTGATGGTTTATAAACTGCCAGATACCTGTTTCTTTGCTAAATATATCCCTCTTCTCAAGTAGTACATATTCTTTCTGATAACCTCTGTCAGAAATGAAAGATAAGAAGTGCTCACACAATTTATTTTGACAGTTTAGATGTCTGAGGACATCTTATGTAGTTGGTAGAGCCACTGGAGATACAGAGTTGGAGAATCTGCTGAGATACCTGTTGAAATGTTACAACTTTGAATCAGTAGAGAATTATAAAGTGACTGGAAACAATATATATATATATACACACTTACATAAAGGATGTCTATATATGTGCATTTAAATTATAGAGCAGTTTATAGCATGCTACCTATAACATGTCCATCATGTATGAGTGAAAGCCAGAGAGAATTTTCCACCCAGCTAGAATAATTCTCCTAAAGCAAGATTGCTTGTCTAAAGGATAAAAAAAAGAAAAGTCTGTATTTATTTTGTGTAATACTACCATAGACCAACTTTGTAGACTTGATAATTAGTGAAGAATTAGTGCTGTCTTCTCAGGATACTGAGTCATATTTAGTGTATGCTGAATCAAAACCCATCCAGAGAATAGAAGGATTTTGGTTCAGTTTCTTTTTTTAATACTTTTTCCCGCTTTGTAAAGACTATGGATGGTTACATAGTACTTACAACTACAACAACGTTTATATTTGTTAGCAAAAAGCGTTGGTTATACTTGGAAAGGTAATTGAATACCACATTTGTTCTCAGCATGAACAAAGTTTATATTGTTTTCACGGGGTAGCCAAGTGATAGGAAAAATACAATGACTGTTGGAGATAATTTTATATTTATTTTTTATGCAGATCAAGAAATGATTTTTAAAAATGTTTTCCTCTAACCTTCTGATCACTGATGTGATGTCATGAATGTTACCATTCTCCCTGGTTTATGCCTGAAGTCCTGTGACTTTTGCAGTAGGGTATTCTACTTGAGTTTATTGCTGTTATTTGTGATTATAAATCAGGCTTCAGAATTGTTAATTTATTTCTCATCCTTATGGCCTTCTATTATTTGTGTGCCATGAAAAAAAAATACAGTGAAGGAGAGAGAAAATTAAACAGTGTTGTCCTTCCTTTTATGTCAGCCAGAAACTCAAGCACAGTAGGATAAAATTTCATCACAGTACCTGCTGCACAATTGAAACCACAGACATGAAATAGCTTTCAAGTGTGTCCCTGGCATCCTGCATTTGAGTGGATCCAGTCATGTTTCATAACTGGAAAAAAGCCTATTGATGTGAGGCTGATTTTGTATTTTGATGCTGATTATTTCTAAAGATTGATTTTAGTGGCTTTTCTTTGTTTTTCAAAACTTCGGACACACCTGGTG